TGGAAGGTGTCTTGTGACTGCTAAAGGAGGGCGGTTCAGGTTTGGAAGAGTTTGGGTTACTCTGGTAGGTGCGGCTGTGTCTTCTCTCTCCCACCCATCTGCTGGACGGAACAAAACCCTAGTTTTTCAAGCACCCAAGTTTTGGTTTGACTTCAAGTAAGTTCACATAGTCAAATTTTTCTGTTTTTTTATTTCCGTTTGATTAATGGAGGTTTCCTAGAACTTTTTTTTGGATAATTAATTGAAATTTTATTAAAACTTAATAAAAGAGGAGTAAATACAATAGAGAGGAGGGGTAAAATCAAGAATGAAACTTATATTACAATATTGCCCAATAACAATAAAGATTAGCTCTTCCCACCCCTTGTTTCGCAAGTGCATCCACAAAGGAGTTTGCACTTCTCTTAATCCACTGAAGCTTAATTTCCATGTCCTGGATCAGCTATTTATACATCTTTTTTCTCATTTCAAAATTTCCAAAACCTATTCTCTTCCTAGATCTTTTATTTCAAATTCAAAAGCTAGGAGTCCTTTTTGAGCTTATACTTTTTGAGGGTCAATTGTCAATTATCATTATATCATTAACATACACATTCAATACCACAGTGGACCATCCTTTGTGCTCAAAAACCAACTATGTCGAAGGACTTATTCTTGGGACTCTTGAGCCTAGGGACCCCTCATAAGAGCCACTTCGAGTGACTACACCAATGCTATCACATCAATGATCAACATTCACCCCTATCAAAGACTAAGAAGGCCTAACCATCTTGGGGCTTTTCCACAGCTAACTACTAAAAAGGGAATTCAATGAACAATTCGGCTAAACAAGGGAAAGAGACAAAAAAACAAATACTTAATTTACACTTCTCCAAACTATCAGCATTTCTTGAAGAAAGTTTTCAAGAAATAATATAGACAATTTCATCTCAATTACATGCTACATCTAAAATGACAAGGATAAAAGATTACCCAACAGAATTCTGCTTCGTTACAGTCAAACTGGAAAACCTTAAGCCAAATAAGGACCGTGCCTGGAAAAATCCAAAAAAGTAAGAAGCATAATCTGTATCATAGGAAGACATCCTGAGAAGATTAAAACATATTACAATTCCTACTAAAAAGTTTCCTTCTCAACCTTAACCAGGAAAAAGGACCACTTAAATTTTCAAGATGTTGGAATCATGGGCTAAAACAAAAGCCACTAGAAAAAGAGAAACACGAAGACAAAAATAATAACAAATACAAACACCCCATATAGCCCCTAGTTGTATATGATATGCACAGATGACCTGCTGGATTGATTGAGTCAAACCAATGACATCATAAGTTCATAACATCATAGTTGCTCATGTAGCATACACCTAACAACTCTGTGGATGTGTATAGTATGTTCCAAGCCACTCAATCTAAAACCTTATCCCCACCTCTTCACTTTCCTCACTAAACCTAGTACTTGTATATTGAAAAACTTTACTCTTCATGATGTAGGACAAGAAGCATAGCCACAGAGCAAACTACACTTGGAACAAGACGTTACAGAAATGATAGAAAATTGCATTTAAAACACTCGAAGCTAAAATGAAATAAAGATATAGAATTAAAAAAACAAGGAAAAAATAGTACCGAGTCACTTTGCTCATCAACATATACAACATGAACATTTTTTATGGAGACCTGTATGCCTTCAAGTATCTGTGTAGGAAAAAGGCCAGGCATTGCAGTATAAGATTAATGATCAACAAAGAACAACAAAAATATTTCAATGTCTAAGGATTGACATAGAAAGTAAACACAACAACAACATGATGCCAAAAAGAATATTGAAGCTTTGTTCTTGCTACAGATAGAAGCATCATTAGGCAACTTGAACAAGAATGGCATAGGATGCAATTTCAATCAGCTTAAGTCCATAACCAAACATCAAGAAAAGAAATGAAATAAGGTTGATGTGGACAGAAAGACAAATTACATGCAGTACCTCAAGTATGCAGCAATAACCGCAAGAAATATCAAGCTGAAAACAACAAACAAGTTGGATGTTTAGGGATTTCAGACCTGAACTTGAATTAAAACTCCTCCTGGAACAGTTCCGCTACAGTAACAATGGCAACAAGCTGGCCTCCCGCACGGACACGCAGCGATAGAGGGATTGGAAGGTGCCAAAAATGGGTCGACTCCTCAAAACCCAAGCTCCCAATACTTGAAACCCTAGCTGGGGCTGAGCTACAGCTCAAACAAGAGAGAAATAACCAAAAAGACCCCTACAAAAACAGCCCCCTTCTCTTTTACAAGACTCACTAGCATGCTGGACAAGCCAGTTAAAATATTTACACATAAGCCCCTAGAAGGCTAGAATATTTCCCTCTCACAAGCAACTCCTTAAGAACAAAACTAACTTCAAATGAACCCTCAAAAGATAACTTTTGTTACAAAAAGACCCAATGAACCAAAACCCAACAGATATGCACCCAACTGCCCCTGGCCAAAAATCTGACTTATAAAATGACGAAAATACCCTTGGTCCCAAACTGTTAACAAAGCTACCCAAAAACAACAATTTGGGATCCTACTACAAAAAAACATGCAAAACAAAATACATTCACACATTTTTTTTGCCTCGTCATTCCTGCCGGGTTAAAAAGAGCTCAACCCCATGCGAGCAACAATTTTAGCAGCCTTGCACATGTTTCCATCTAGCTTCATAAACTCCTCTTCACTAATCCAAGAGTTCTCAATTGATGGTTTCCCTTTCCATTTGACCAAGAACCTAAAAGATGCCCCATTTCGAGTGTTGGTGACTCGAACATCTTCTACACCCTCTACTTGTTCAAACTCATTAGAACTATTGGCCCTTTGTGCTTGTCCTTGTCCAACCTTTGTTGTTGGTTCTAGATCCCCATGGTAAACAAAGAGGTCTGCTATATTAAAAATGGGTGAAATGGACAAACCAGCTGGTAACTCGATTTCATATGCATTGTCACCAAACCATCTCAGCACTTGACATAGACCAATCTTTTTCTACTTCAACTTATGGTAGCACCCAACAGGAAACCTCTCAGGCCGCAAATAAGCCTTGCCCTCATGAAACTCTTTCATCTGACGATGCTTATCCTTAGCTTCGTTATACCTTTGGTTGCTTTCTTTCTGCTTTTGCCGTACATTCTCTTGAATCTCTTGAATGGATTCAGCTAAAGCTTTGGCATCATCACTCACTCGCTGCAACCCTGTTGTAGGAGTTAGATCAAAAACACTTTTAGATGACCGATCATACACAACCTCAAAAGGAGTCTTCCTTGTAGATCTATTAACTGGATCATTGGAGGATCTATTAACTGGATCATTGAAGGCAAATTCAGCTTGTGGTAGGATAAGATCCCATTGCCTTAAGTAGTCTCCAACTAGGCTCCTCAACAAGTTGTCTAAGCTTCAATTAACCACTTCAATTTGTCCATCTGTTTGTGGGTGAAATATATTGCTATATTGTAGGGTAGTACCCATACGCTTCCATAAAGTTCTCAAAAGAAAAACAGCCTTTTGAAAAGAAAGGACTGTTTAGAAAGTTGCAAAAATTCAAAAGAAAGTAGCAGAAATTTCAAGAGGAGAGAAGAAGAAGAAGAAGAAGAAGGTGGCAGCGACTTGGGTTCAGAGAGAGAGGTTTTCGAACATAACCTTCTCTCTTACACCCCTAATTCCATTTCATTGAGTTAAACTTTATTAATTTACAGAGAGTCCCCTAGTTGGGCAGAAAATTAAGAAACATAACACAAGAAAGAATAAGGCCTAGATTAAGGCCCACTACAACAAAGAACATAAAAAATAAAGAAGGATAAGCAGCCTATGGACCATTCGGCCCATCTTCTCTACACTCCCCCTCAAGCTGAGCATAGATGTCAATCATGCCAAGCTTGCCAGTATCATGTTGAAGTTTAGCCTTGGGAATGCCCTTGGTGAGGAAATCAGCTAACTATCCTTCAGAGGTGATGAAAAGTAGCACACTTCTCCAGAAGCCACTCTTTCTCAAATGAAGTGTTTGTCAAATTCAATATGTTTAGTTCTGTCATGTTGCACTGGGTTGTGAGCAATATTGATGGCAGCCTGATTATCACAATATAACATCATTGGCTTATCATGCTCAATACCCAGTTCCTCCATCAAGGATCTAAACCACAGTAGTTCAAAAACTCCATGAGTCATGGCTCTGTATTCTGTTTTGGCTGAAAATCGAGCAACAACTGATTGTTTCTTGCTTCTTCAAGAGACAACATTACCTGCCACCAAGCTACAGTACCCAGAGGTAGATCTTCTGTTATCAATGTATCCGGCCCAATCAGCATCTGTGTAGACTTCAAGTTTCATATGGCCATGCTTAGCAAATAGAATCCCCTTTCCAAGGGAGCCCTTCAAATAACACAGAATCCGCTCTGTTGCTGCCATGTGAATATCCCTAGAAGCATGCATGAACTAACTAATGCAACTGACAGCATATGCAATGTCTGGCCGAGTCATGCAAACATAGAGAAGTTTTCCAAGTAGTCTCTAAAAGACTCCCTTATCTTTTAACAATATTCCATCTGAAGCAAAGAGTTTATGGCTCATATCGATAGGAGTAGCAACTGGTCTAGCACTCATCTTCCCTGTTTCAGAGAGCAAATCAAGAACATACTTTCTCTGAGAGATAAGGATCCCATCCTTGGATCTAGCAACTTCTATGCTAAGAAAGTATCTCAATTCCCCCAGATCTTTGATCTCAAACTCTGTATGAAAGAAAGATTTAAGATCATTAATCCCTAATACATCATTACCAGTCACAACAATATCATCAACATACACAATCAGGTAAACGGCCAAGGATCCTCTCCTCTTCACAAAGAGGATATGATCAGATTGTGTCTGTACATAGCCAAAGCTAACAAGGGCAGCCCTAAACCTTTCAAACCATGCTCTAGGGGATTGTTTAAGTCCATAAAGAGATTTCTTCAGCCTGCAGACCTTTCCTTTCATATCTGTTTCATACATCCATGGAGGAAGAGACATATAGACCTCATCATGTAACTCTCCATTCAGAAATGCATTATTTACATCCAACTGATAAAGTGGCCAGTCTGAGTGTGCAGCCAGAGATAGCAGAACTCTCACAGAAGTCATCTTGGCAATAGGGGCAAAGGTCTCAAGATAATCAATCCCATATGTCTGTGTATAGCCTTTTGCAACCAGCCTAGCCTTGTACCTTTCAATGGTGCCATCAGCATGATATTTGATAGTTAAAACCCACTTACAGCCTACTGGATCCCTCCCTTCAGGAAAATCAACCACTTCCCAAGTGTCATTCTTGTGCAGGGTATCAATTTCTATTCTCATAGCATCCCTCCATTCTGGAATACTAAGAGCTTCTGACATAGACCTGGGAACTGGGTTAGAAGCAACAGAAGAAAGGTAGGCAAAATATGAAGGAAAGAGCAAACTATAAGAAAGGTGTTTGGAAATGCAATGTGTAGTACACTTCCTTTTTCCTTTCCTAATAGCAATAGGGATATCAAGGTCTAGGAATGATGGCTCCAAAGGGGCTGTAACAGTACCTGTTGTCTCTTCTGTAACTGGAAGTGCATGAGGTTCATGTGTTGTAGGGGAAACAATATGCTCATTTCTGGTTCTCTGCCGTTGGTACAACCTGGGATTAAAAGAGGGCAAGGAGGTGAAGGAGGAGGGATAGGAACATTGGAATGAGAGTGAAATGACTGATCCTCCCTTGACTCATTTGAAGGAGGAAGAGTCTCAACAAAAGACTCAACTGGAACAGGAAGGGGAAGAGCAAACAACTGTGACAAATTCTCCCCTTTTGGACAATGTCTATCCTGAGAAGAACCATAAAAGGAAGAAAACTCATCAAAGGTGACATCCATTAAGACATACCGAGTGCCAGTCTTCGGATCAAAACAACAGTAACCCTTCTGTGTGGGGGAATAACCTAGGAAGATACACTTGTGGGCTTTTGGTTCAAATTTATGTCTCTGGACACTTGGGATATGTATATAACAAGTGCAGCCAAAGACATGAAGAGGAATAGGAAAAAGATCCTTGTCTGGATGAAGAAAACTGAAGGGAGACTTAAACCCCAAAACCCTGGATGGCATACGATTGATAAGGTAGATAACAGTGAGAACAACATCACCCCAAAATTTTGTAGGGACATGTGAGGCAAATAGAATACTTCTTGCAACATCAACAATATGTCTATTTTTTCTTTCAGCAACTCCATTCTGTTCTGGGGTCCTAACATAGGAGCTTTGGTGAATAACCCCCAAATCAGTGAGATAGTAGGTCAGGCTTTTCTCAAAATATTCTTTTGCATTGTCGAATCTGAAAATTTTAATTCTGGTATCAAACTGGGTTAGGACAAATTCATGGAATTGCCTCACAAGTCTAGGAATTTCATCACGGGACTTCATCAAAAATATCCAAGTGAACTGAGAGAAGTCATCAATGAACAAGATAAAATATTTGTAACCACCCATAGAAGGTAAGTGGTAAGGCCCCCACACATCAGAGTGCACAATATGAAAAGGAGAAGATCTTTTATTACTCAGAGGATAACTGTTTCTACAATGTTTTGACAGTTCACACGACTCACAATGAAGACTGGACAAACTAATTCCCTTAAACAGTTCTGGGAATAAATGACTTAATGTAGAAAA